ATTTCTGGGAGTTTCTTCGAGTAAGGTATGCAACTAGTAAAAGAATGTGTGACGAACACGCTAGGCACAAAGATGCTGGCCCGTAATGTGCGTTGATTCTTCCAAAATCTACTGCCCTAGATGCACACTATATATATCCATCCGGCTGGCAGGGATCTCTCTAATACAGGCTGTATCAGGCTGTCTCACTATGACTCGTGCCTATTGAGCCCACAGACGTTCCATCGTCACAGAATGCAAACCGACTTGAGAACAACTGGTTGTCATGAGGATTGAATTTCGTAAGATCGACGTTGTCTTGATTAGGATATGTACTTTTGATCTCTATGCTATATCCATTGGCAAATCTGTTTGTAGCCTTCTTCACTGGGCGTAGTCAAAGATAGACGCTACTATCGACCACGCATCTACTAATCTTGAGCAAGCTATCCACGGTATTTACTTATCGATGAATGTTTTTTATTAATTGTTATTTTCAATGCTTGATATTCCTATTAATTGTTTGTTATAGAGAAATAAAAGAAGTATGTTAGGTTTAAATTGATTCGAATTTGGAGCTAGATCAGCTCAAACACTGCTCAGAATGCACGTAACGATGTCATAGACCCTCGCAACACTACCTACGGGCAATAAATCCCATCAATAGTAAATGCGAGACATAGTCAAGCACATCAAGCATATCAAGCAAACTTCGGACAAGAAACTCCGCCAATTCGCAAGCCAGCATACAATCCAACTGGTTCGACCAAAAAGACCAATCATTTTCTATACTCATCTAATCCACCTTTCAAACCCACAGATCGGGCTACCTAAGGGGCTCTCATGGTTAGTGTTTTTTATTTCCTTGAGACAAAAGTTGTATAGTTATCAACTCGCAAAAAAGGTCTTTCTCGACAATTCTAAGCCTCCATTCGCGGCCAAAGCCCGGAACACTTGCCATTCAATTCCACTGGTCAGTTTGCATCCAAGCGTGGACCGCAGCTACAAGTCCTCAAAGCGAAGAAGGCGCGATCTCCAATAAGGAATAAGGCAAAGACTTCCTATCAGACCAGGAAGCAGAAGACGAAATGAGCTCCCACAATCGCTTCGGACCTTTTACCTCGTGTCCTTCCAAGTCAAGCCCAGCGACACCAGAGAAGCCGCAAGATGGCGATTTTGCTAAGGCCATTCAATACTATTCGTAGGGTTTAGCATGAGCCTATCTGTCTGTTCACCTGTCCTAGGGAATCTCCGCACCTTATTAATAAGTACTTTAATATATCGCTCCTGAGTTTAATAATGTTGAACTTGGTTGAAACCGACCGAAAATCTGACAATCTAACATGTGTAAGAGTCATAAAACATCACACTTCTTATAAAACTTTCAAACTACAGTGTTTCTGCCTACCTAGAGATTTAAAACGTGTACTTCAGGTGTTTACACGTAACTTGAGAGTTTGCTATTCTTTAGCTTGAAGCTGCGCTCTTTGAGTGCTTTGCAAAAGATAATTAGAGAGTATTACGTTATTCCAAAGGCTATGCAACAAACAAAAGGAGCAGCAGCAACTACGAAAAAGCCGCACACTACTAACAACAATGAGCATATCCAAAGAACGCATGCGCTAGGAGTCACTCATCAACCGTTTAGTGGGCCCTCTTAAAAGGCAGTGAGGCATAAAGCCCCAGTTCAAGCAAGTAGAATCAGTGCTTAGATTCGAGAGTGTCAACAACGCTACGCATACCTTCGAGATTTACGCTCTTCACTTCGAGCCAAAATCTCTTTCTGACAGGACTTTGCGAAGGTAAATCTTCACGTGTATTTGTTTGTAGCACGGTAGAGCCATAGGCAATATTGCGTTTAATGTTGTCAACTTGGCTGTGGGATCACCGTCCTTTGTGTAAGGGCTATAGGGATGGCATTTATCTCCTCCTGCCGCTCTATCGACCTGTCTGTCCTTGGAGTCTCTCAAAGTATTCATGTTAAGACTTATATGATACACCATGGCTTACAGCGTTGCCCTTAATAATGACTCCCGAGCAGTAGTCTCCTGAAAGACGATGCCGTTCCCGGAGCAAAAGGACCGTGGGGATGAAAAAAATGCTCAGAAAGAGACTGACTGTGATTTTCGTTACATTCTTAATCGAGGTTCGTCATCAAGAGCTCAACCGTAGACTTGTCTATAGAATTCTCAAGAAGCTCCCCTACAAGCAAGCAAGCTTTATGACATATCTCCCAGTCAAGATAAACTTTTGAGGTAATTTAGTAAGAATAACTATGAACCCAGTCAGCATTTCTTTTGATAAGCATTCTCGCCAGCACATTCCGACTCAGCACACATCGACTCAGCACACATCGACTCGGCACACATCGACTCGGCACACATCGACCCAAAGCTGTGTGCAGCTTTGACGCTCGATCCATGACTCAGATTGACTAGAAGCGCATGCCACGGAGTCAAGAGTTGGTCAATTATGAATGTACTCAAGAACCTTAGGTAGGTATCCTTACGATGACGCAAGGAAGGCAGTTATAGGTTAATTAGATGGTAGCAAACAGCGATAATGCCGTGGCTATGGCGGTATGCCTAGCGGACATTTAAGATCGCCTGAAATAAACAAGATGCTACTCGAAGCCATTACTATGCCATCCGGAGTAAATAATGAAAAGGTGGAAACCTTCGATGTTCAAGTGATGCTGTGCCCTCAAACGCAGGTGAAATTGGGGTAAAATGCTTAACATTGCATACATTACCAGCAACTCCAGAATGAATGGCCTTATGTCTATTAATGTTCTTATCAACGAGTCTCAGGAAATGAATCGGTTTTAACGCCTCTTACTCCCACATCCATCTTCCTGTGGCAAAGTTTGCCATTGAATCAAGACCGAAATCCTTGGGGCTTCTCACTTAGCTACAGCTGGGGGTGGCCATTAGCCAATTTTACATGCTTCGATACTCTCATCATCACCCAACGCATTATCAACCTTGAGCAGTGGAAAGAGGGGCATCTTAACTGTGTACGGCTCTTTTGGCAACGTTTATATTATTGATCAGTAGTGTATACACACATAATTCAGGACTTCCGTAAGTAGTCTACGGGTGGAATCCTGAATAGGTCCTCTTTGCATAGCGGCTGGCGCAGATTACAATGTTATGTTTGTCTTCGTCATTGAGGCGCCCGCCTGGTGGGCTCATCAGTCAATCTTCTATCTAATACTCATTTTCCAGGGTCCAGGCAGCGCCAAAGTCAGTGCTACCAAGTTGGGGAGGTTTTTTATCTTTGAAACCCTGAATCCAGCTTTAAACTGTGTCATATGTCAGCAACTAGACGGGAGATTTGAGTAAGAGCCTGTCTTGGTAATACGAGAATCGAGCATTTTGAAAGATGATTGTGGGCGCCGATAAATTTTCTCTGCTTCTTGGAGATATCTGGAGGTTACAGCCTGGACGACATTATGGCAGAAACTTGAGATAATCAGAATAAATGAAGGAACTCAACCACTGCAGGTTGCAAAATGGAAGAAGTGAAACAGACCGTGGCCAGAGAGAAGAATGTAAGAGAAATGTAAGTAGCTTTGGAACTTTTCATGGGTTTGTCTTAAAACTGGTGTGCAGGAGTGAGAGCCTTAAAGACGTTAACTTTGCTAGGGTCATCATTGCAGGTTGTTCCATTGCAGGCTGCACATAACGTGAAACCTATTGCCCGGGCGAAAAGAACAAAAAACCCTGCCATCACCTGCATATCTTAATCTACCACTATACAAGGCAGACAAGACTTGAGATCTACAGTTGTGCTTAGGTAACGTGTGATGCAGGGAAGATGTCGTACTGGTGGCCTGGACCGGGCGGTCTAAATCGTTCCAGCAGCTGCTTTTTCAGAGTTTGTGTTTCGGAATAACGACTGAATCATTAACACGTAGCGACAAGCGTGTCAAGTTAATAAAATGAAATAATAGAGAGCGGAGATGGAAAAGATGTTATGTTTGAACAAGAGTGGAAGAAGCTCCATGTTGTGATGTAGGTTTCCGGTTGATGATGAACGTGAAGAAACGGATTGAAAAGTTCAAGGCGGAGACGAGAACTAAAAACATGAAGAAAGGAAGCCTACAATAGACAAAAACAAAAGGAAACTACAGGAAGCATATCGAACCAGCTGGTTAAAGTATGGCAGAATTGCAGTAGTGCTTAGTCAAACTTAAGGTAACTCTTGCCCTTCACCTTCTGTCCTCCTTCACTTTGAAGATCTGCACATGCCTCCAAAAGAAAGTGCGACAAAGTAGCTTCTTCACAAGAAACAGCAGAGGCTCTCAAGTACCAACGGAATCAGCAATAAGTAAATTGAACGGACCTTCTCACAAATAAGATGGTTATTTTTCGGCAAGCGTTATGCAGCTCACCTGACTGTCTTTCCTCTTCTCCCAAAACATTTCCTAGCAAGAGGAACAAACCATAGTTGCCTTCACCAATCTCCTCAATTTACTTTCGCCCATACCAGAACTTCCCAACTACGAAACCATTTTTTGCCACTTAATTTGACATCCCCAAAACATCAAGCCCAAAGTTGGACTCCTCATCCAAACCAGATTCAATAGGAGCATTAGGCATAATGGCTCGTCTACGCAAGCCACCCAGATCCACCTCAATCACTGCGACTTTCGCTGGTGAAGCCGAGAGCTCAAACAAAGGCTTGGACCCAGCCGCCCACATTCGGTCCAAGACGAATGCCCAGCTCCGCGACATTCTAAACGAGAACAACGTCCAAGCTTCGTCAAGACTACGGAAGAGCGAGCTTATAGAGTCTGTTCTCCGCCTACAGCTTGCCAAAAAAGAGGTACCTTTTGGTGGTGATAACCTACGTGTGTCCGTCCATTTGCTGACGTTCATCACAAGGACAAGACGGAGAGCGATGAAAACAGCGACGACCGGGGCCTCACAGATGCAATGGAGAATGTGGCCATCTCGAGCGCAGATGCTGAATCATCAACCGACCTTCCTACCGAGACCTTGGACCACCCACAGATAATGGTCCCCGCTGCCCACGACGACGTTTCATATCTCGAACCTGATTTCGATCCCAACATACTCACAGTCGCAAGACTCCGGAACATCCTCTGCGCACACGGAGTCGACTACGGTATAGCTAAACGAAAAGCTGATCTTGTCAAACTGTTTTATCAGCATGTCACGCCTGCTTCAGCTGGCATGCTCGACGCCATGGCTCATGTGCAAAGGTCAGACAAAGATATCACAGACGCATGAAGAGGTGGTATGCGCTATCATTGATGCAATGGAAATAGAACCACAAGGGTTTACTTATTTTGGCGGGATGCAATTGTCATAGGTTGGAAGTTCAACATTATTGGTAGGGACTTGCAGAAGTTATGGAGTGAAATGAGCTAGCTGCAGCAAAACTTTGTTTCGTTTAGTCATTTGTAATCAAGTGCGAACAACTCTGTTAATCAGTCAAGGGATCATACCAGGAAAATCTGTCATCGAAAGAGGCTTACTATAGTAACGTCCTCGGATGAACTGCACTCAGCGATGACCCTTTGCGCTTCATGGCCTGGGCTTGCTACTTGGCAGCACCAAGTAAATTCCTTCGATATTAGGCACAGCAGAACAGCAAAATCTATTCCCATTACCGTCCCAGATGGACTTGTATCCAAGCAAGAGCGGTTGTTCAGTGCATGGCATGGTACTTTTAGTTGACCACACGTTTCTGACGCCTCAGTCCTAGATGAAAGATCTTGAAGTTCACGTAGGCATCTGCTTGAAACCAAAAATTCTTCCCAAGTACTTAAATATCATTAAAATGGACCGGATCAGATCTTTTAGTTTTTCAATCCCGATCATGCGTTAAAGCCAATCGCCACTCGAATTATTCTTTTGTAATTTCTCAGCTGCTACCTTGGAAGAGTTTGCTTTGAGGATCACAAACGCCGTATTATTTTGTCTAGGGCTAACTGTCCTATGAGTCCCCTGCATGCGTTCTCAACTCCTGATAAGCTGCGAATGCCGGCTGTTGTGACAAGTGGAACTATACTGTCATTTCGGATCATACGAGCGAGTATTACCTTGGAAGTTGCCTTACTTCTTGCTGATGCCAGCACCCCAGCGACGGAACCGGCCCGAAGCCAGATTGCTGTGTGATAAGCGAACCGGTAAATCACATCAGCTCCATAATGTTTTTACCCATGCGGTCTTGTATTCTACTTAAAAGTTCTAGCTTTGTGTTACGTCTGTACCTAGGAGACGAAACCTTATACCCGTACCTCTAAAGTAGCACAGCCTGGTTGAGGTGTGCGTCAGGCTGATGACTTCGGGGTTGATGCATTTGCATCGATGAACCCAACACTATAAACAGCTATAACGGGTCCAGAGCCATTAATCATCCAGCAAGTGAGACCATGGGGCATAGCCCTGGCTACTTCGGCGTGTCTGTCATCGATGCCGGTTGCTCGTCAACATCGTGGGTTCCGTTGACAAGAGTTGTTGGATTATTGACTAGAGAGTTCAACCGCAAGACGATTCAAAAACAAAACCAAAAGAAACATTAAGCTGCTATAAATTGCACGAAACTTATTTTCAAAGTTTACTTTCTTATTCTTCTCTCAATTCTTGTTATTCTCATAGAACAAAAACCTGGCAGACGGCGCCTTTGAGCAGACATCAATGATTGACTAATGACAGCGACCCTAAAGAAGTAGCTAGAAATAGAGACTCGAATACATAAGTTCCAATGTCAATAGTCTCTTTCAATCTTTGCGGAAGATGTCTTGGGTGTTGAAGCAAAACCTTTATGCAGCCTCCAGTGCTAGAGCTTTTGGTGGTGAGGCCCGCACCCGACTCACTTGACATCCAGTATTAGCGGGCCGCCTGCCACCATCTTAGTCAGCCACCCACCATAAGGCTTTTCCAGCCATCACAGCCCACTGAATTTAGCGAGGTAGTTGACCTCGACACACCCACTGTTTGAGCTATCGCCACTATTTGCTATCGTCGGCTTCAGAACATGTGACCGCCAATCCACTGTCCTACCAGTCCCAACCATGACCCACGCTCGGATTCTTACTTCTGCGCAAGAGGGCCAATACATCACGCCCAGCGAGATAGCCTCTCTGCAAATTACTCACAAGTCATGTCCATGGATCATTTTCGCATGATACTCGGTGCGAACAAATAAAACACACTCGAGCTCGAGCAATCATCACTCTATTCTATACTATAGCACTCCTGGATATCTCTCGCATACAGTCATGAGTCATCTCCTCCCGTAACAAAACAAATAACTCGTCGCCGTCTATTAGTACAAAAAAAAGAAGAAAAAAAGGAGAAGAAAAGGCATACATGCTAAAGCCCTTCTGCCCTTTACCTCACACACCTTGTGCCATGTCTAGCCGTCTTTCCACGGCGCAGCGACCCTCCTCCACTAATTCAGCCATGAACTCCCAAATCTGCGTGTACACCCGCAGCTTCTGAGCGTCCTTCTCGGCCCGCAACATCTCGCGCTCCGCCTCTGCCAGCCATCTTGTCTGTTCGGTTTCGGCCAACCTGACTGGGCTGTCGCCTTCCTGTACGGCAAGCTGTTTGCGCCGGCAGTGCTCGTCCTTCTTGTGTAGGACTGTTGCCTCGGCGGTTCGTAAGGTAGCCGCGGCCATGGTACCAATGTTCTGCAGCACATGTCCTGTACGCATGAGTTGTTGATGGGCTGCCGTCCACACTGAGGCCCGCTCCTTGTTTGCATTTGCCGCGTCGGCGACGACGTTCTTCTTCCACTCATCCACCTTGGCAGCGAAGTCGTTTGCCTCAGAGGTACTGACGCGGCCAGGTTTCAGTACTGGTGCTGGGATGGAAGACGTGGGTGGGGCCATGTCACCATGATCGAGGAATTGTGACCGGAAGAAGACTCGGTGGCGATCCTTGGCGCTCAAAAGCTCTCCATGCTGTGCCATGCTCGTGTCTGTCATGATCGTGATGAGTGTCCTCCATAAACTCGAGTTGATGGCTGGGGCGGTGCGCTGAACTACCAGATACGCGAGGAAGGCGATAACGTGTACGCCGCAATCATTGGCGTTGCTCTGCTGGGCGCAAGGCATCGAAGCCATGTAACCGGCGGGACGGGACAAGTTCGGGAGGTATGCACGGCAAAAGCCATCCAGCTGCGTTTGTGCTTCCCTCGTGTGGGCATCATTTTGTAGCGAGTCGTAGAAGTCGGCCTCGACATAGGACGCATGGCGGCGCAAGATGACAAGTGTCCAGTGATTCCCGCCCAAGAACAAAGGTAAGACGGCGGTGGTGTTTGGTTGAGAAAGCCCCAAAAACGTCGACTTGTCGAGGCTAGGCACCTTTTTGCTTGTGACCAGAGAGTCGACAAGGAGCCAGTAGTGCTCCCCACAAGATTCCAGGATCATGCCCATGCAGTGAAGGAGTTCGGCGCCCCGCAACCAAGTGGTAGTGTCAATTCTCTGCACGGAAACTGTCTGCAGCGGCTCCATGGTAGCTGAGGTGCGCGACTCGGCGATGCTTTTATCGGCCAGAGGCGAAGGAATCGGTAAAGCAGTGCTAGATGGCGACAAAAGAACGGAAGAATGTGCTGGGGGATTAATGTCCTTGGGAGACTGGAATGAGTCTTCGTCGAAAGGACCAATCTGCGGCGAACGGTCAAACAACGGAGAGGACTGCTGTTGTGCTGGTAGCCCATGCCGTGGAAGCTCTGGACTGAATTTGCGTTCTTGTTTGCTACACCGGCTGAACTCGAAGCTTTCGTCGTTGGAAGTGTCAGACTTGGCGCGTTTGCGAGGATGGTGCTCGTCTTGGATGTTCGCTACTGATGCCGACCGGCGGTTTCTGCGGGTTGTGATGTTGCTACTGAAGACGTCTGACGACTCAGTAACAGGCAAGTGTTGCTTTTTGTTGACAGTGGGACTTGGTAGGGGATCTGAGAATATTGTTGACTCTTCGACAATGGTTGACAAGTCTCTGTGGAACGACTGTTGTGGGTTCATACGATTTTTTGCAGGAGGAGTTTCTGGTATTTCCGGGATGCCAAATTCCTCCCCCTCTTCATCTGAGGAGTTACCTCCGTTACCCCCAAGGTGAAAACTATTGTCCAATTCTCGATCTGAGTCGCTACCTTCCATGTGTTCTTGTTCGTCGAGACGTTTGCCTGGGGCGTGGGAATCGTCGCTGGGGTTCGGAGCTCGACTGCCAGCCCTGAATAAGTCGACTCTGTCGCTGTCTTTGCCTAGATCAATGCTGGCACGTCGGTGGTCTCCGGCCTGGCCCTTCTTCCCATTGGTGCCCTTATTCTTGTCATTTCCATCCGTTATCCCATCGTCGGAGTTCTCTTCCCTGGCCAAATCTCTTGACTCAGCCTTCCGCGGAGGTTTGCTCCAGGCGTTGACGTCAAGAGAAGTGAGAGCCTCCTTCAGACGATCAACCGGTTTCCTCTCCTTGACAAAGGGCGCACCTTGTGTAGTAATGGTCGGACTGGTGGATTCGAAGGCTCGATTGATGTCGAGAATGGTGACTTTCGGGTGTGTCTGTCGCAGGTACTTGAAGGCGTCTTGAGCGGCGCGACTGGCAGCAACTGAGACGCCAAAAAGGAACACAAAGGTGCTCTTGGAGACTTCGAAGTGTTTAAGGTTGGCTCCCAAGCGATACAGGCCCTCTTTGAGGAGGTCTCGATTGAGCTTAGCGATGTCATCGGCCAGCTCAGCGTCCAACGCGACATTAAGCAGAGCAGGATTGACGTGTTGCAGGACGAAGGTCGAAAAGGAGCTATCGCGTGCGATTGTGAGGTCGGGATCGGCGGTGTTGAAGTCTTCCTTCAGCCTCCTCCACAGCGAAACAATCGTGTCCGCCTGGTTCTGGTCGTCGGGGGCTTTGGCGAGGGAATTGAAAATGGCGAGCGTTGATTCCAGCATCTGAGCTTCAGTCACGAGAGGGACAAGAAAAGGAGGTTTTCGATGTCATTTCGGGGGGGAGGGACGTAGGTGGCATAGATCGTAAACTAGAACAAAAGAGAAAAGAAGAGGAGAAAGTTTCGTCGTTTGGTTCGAATGAATTTACAGCAGGCATGACGATTGATTGTGGACTGTCAGTTGGGCAGGCGCGGGGGCCGTGAGGCAGTAGGACCAGTTATCGCGTTTAGCAATTATTTTAAGAAAGCATACCGGAAGAGATAAGAGAGATAAAGACGCGAAGCCACGTGATAGCGCGAGATGGCTTGTTCTCAGAAGTGCGACACAGCGCAGTAGTAAACATGGCATGAAAGATTTGTGGCCAAAGCGTTGTTAAGCTGGTGCCAACTCCATATTTGTGGCAGAACGCCCATAGCGCCACATGTGGCGCCTAGGATTGCGGGTCCACTTTCGCACTCGTGTGGTATTGCTTCCATATTTGTGGCAGCAATCCCACATTGAATCTGGCATTTGATCAAGTCTTACCGCGATAGCCAATATTGCCCCTGTTCTTTAGTAATAATTTAGATGTCAGCCCACCAAAGCCAGCCATAGCCAGAGCAGTGGTTCATAATATTAGTATTAGTAGTGGGTTGAAGCTATTATAGAGGGCGATGCCCTATTAGAACCCCTAACTACTGGCGGCTTCTACTAGGCAGGGAGTTTTAAGTATAACACTACTATCTATAACTATAATAATTAGTAGTAATAATCTATTATATTTCCCTTATAGATTATTTATAAATAACATTTTAGCTATTAAATATAGGTACTGACTTTCTTTTCTTATTGTTATTATGTTTTATTAATGAGAGAAGACGCTCTGGATAAATAAGTCGCTGTTCGTACGGCTAAGGCTTCTCGCCAAACCGCAGCTTTTACTAGTGACTCAATCTAGACATGAGTAATTATCAGGATCACGGGAGCACCTAATAAAGTAGGATATCCCTCTGAAGAGGAAACTTGTAGCTCATTGTTGTGTCTGGTGTCTTTTGTCTAAGGGGAGAAGTTCTCGTCGAAGTGAACGCAGAACATGTACCTGTCTGGCAGCTAACAGACTTACCGACAACGGAACCACGTCACCCCAGAATTCCGGCTATTGCGACATAAAATATACACCTTGAGACATCATGCTTCTACACTGAGCCCAGATTTTAGCTTTTATTTTGAAAGATCAAAGGCTACGCCAGACATTATAAACCGCTGATTTATAGGACTCGTGAAGGGGGAGGAGGTCGCTCTGGCAGTGTCGCTGAGGTTTTCACAGAATTATTACTTCAGCGTCCCAAGTCTCTTTTAAATGAAGAGTTGGCACTAAGGCGACTTAAAATTCCTAGACGATAACAATACGGTATCCTTCATTGGAGAGATCCCTTTTGGAGCGGACCTAGTTAACTTTGTGCTACATGGCGTATATGCCATGTCTCAGCTGCAATATGTTCAATGTCCACCAGCCGACAAACAGAATAGCTACTAATGAGGCATGCAAGTGCCTGAGAGCTTGCATGTATGTATCAGGCTGACCCTTACCGCACAACTGCCTCTAAGAGCGTATGAAAAGCCGCTCGATGCTCATCATCGTCCGCCACATTATGTTTACTACGACTTTCTCTCAACCCTCAGACTCTCCATCCTCGCTACCAACGTGGTCTAACCGCCATCATCTCTGAGCCTCCCTGAGAACAGAGGTTAGGTGAAGGCTTTTACATGGCCAGTCTCAAGCCTGAGATCTCAATGACAATCCCTCCCAGATCAGAGTTAACAATTCTCCTTTGATTCAACTCCACCAAGCCTAATAAGGACATACTCTCAATTAAATGTATCATTTTTAGATGCTTCTACTGTTTAAAGAAGAAATTGAGCCATGACAAGAGGCTACTAATAAAGTTGGCGACGCAATAATGCTTAAGGGGGTTATGCTGAGCCGGTTTTGGGCAAATCTCATGGTGAGGCCTCCACAAACAAGCATATAGCTAAGCAGACGGAAAAGACCAATCTAACATATTCCAAAAGATGTGTATGGATAATAAAGCTTGAAAGGTCTAAATCTGAAAGCTACTAGCAAAAGAGCTGCCTGACTTTTGGGAGGACATCTCTGTCGATATGCTAAATGGGCAACATGATCCAGGCGCATCTGGCCCAAAAGAGAATATTAGTCTAGAGCAGCGTCCTGCAATGGAAGCCGTTTGCATTAGGAGGGAAAGGTTGACCGGGTAAATCAACAGCCGAGTCGGCGAGTTTCCACGGGTAGCTGCATGCCCACGTCAAGGACAATCAGCACAACACAGTTCAGGAGAAGAGGGGTATTCAAGCTTGATGCTCAGATTTTTCATCACTCTTCACCTGTTTAAAGCGACTAGAAGCCTCCATCACATGTCTGTCCTACATGTCTGTAATGCAGAATGACGACTTCGATCCGATATGTGCAACCTCGAGGCGCCAGCCTCGGGCCTGATAACATGACAGCAAACACATGCGATGCCACTGAAGCGGCCGCACTGTCTTCCTCGAAAGGCACGCAATACAGCTTGACCGCTTCAGATATGGGATCCGCGGAACCAAGCCTTGTGCAGAATCGAGCATGGGTACCTTTTGTCGCGTCTGATTTACAAGCAAAGGGCTAACTAGCTTTAGTTAATCATGACAACCCGCCTCCCGAGCGATCCCGATGTACATGCTCTTGCTTCCGACCTCATTCGAAACCTGGAGGTCTGGAGCGCCGAGATCAACTGTCTGATCGACCAGATACCGGAGGCCGGAAGCGTTTTGGAAACGGACGTCGCCCGATTGGGTCGCGAGATGGCCGAAGGGCTCGCAGTCAAGCTTGACGGAGCTGTTGCAGAGATGCGCATGCGGTTGGCACACACTAGCATGGTTAGAAAGGCCAACGAACGCATCATCTGGGACAATATTCCAATGTGGACTGATTCCTTAGATAGGGAGGGACGGGGAAGCGCAACGTTCATGACCGTCTCGAGTCTGCAATGTTCGAAGGATGCGGAGCGCCATTACATGGCTGCGACATATGGTCTGGCGAAGACTTACTTCGCTCTGGGTCAGCTATGCCGAAGTGGTCAACATTCGGAATCATTATTCGGTCATATCCTCCAGTGCTGGGAGGATGTTGAGGAGTCTCTTCTGCGAGGTCAGGAACAAGATGACTGTGGCAATAGATGGCATGTAGAAAGCCGTGCCTTAAAGCCGTCTTAAAATTATTAGACATGGACTTGTAGTAATGGGTGCAGATATAAATGATAGTCTTTATCTTTGAAACGTGGACTTTTGGTGAAAGGATGCTTTATGCTTGTGCCTCATGCTTTGATGCTTTTAAACGGGACTAAATATTCTATGCAAGTTTTAACCCATCAACTGCTGCGGCGGGATTATATGTAGCATCGCAAGGTACTGGAAGAGGATGTATTTTGCACTAAATGTTCGGTACTGAATCACTTGGCATGAACGCATCAAATTTAGACGCTGGATCTTCCACCTGATCAGTGCCGTACTATCACCGCCATCTCTCTTTTGGGGCTAGACTTATCGTCTGAGCGTCGAAGTCTTTCTATATAGACTGATTAGTATTATCTTGACACGAAGCTGTATTATCTTTCTTGTACCAGCTATCAGAGGCCGACTTGTTTCCGCCCGGAAGACTCTTGGGCGAGGATATGTGTATACATACCCGACTCGCACGCACTGGCAAGCGCTTAAAACCAGGCGGAGATAAAGCAGGTGGAAACCCCATTAGTGGGACCATTACCTAGCAACAAGTTGACTGGGCATTGCATCAATTCTCACTGGTGCTAGAGTATGCATCCTAGAGTTAGGAAGACATTTCTCAATAACATCGTTCTCCTGAGAACCCCCAGAAGCACCCTTCGGTTGGAAACCCAACGGCCTGGTGGTAGGTAATTAGAAAACAGAACCAACTTGAGAAACAAGATTGACCTCAAAGAATCAGCCCAACTGTTAGCTGACCAATCACCTTTTGGAAGCCATACTGATGACATTACCTTTTCCAGCTGGAAAGTACTTAGCTCGACAAGCAAGAGAACGTCGAGTATACCCGGAGAAGTGCCCCGCCACACTACAGCAGGACAGCATCTATTCCAGCACGAAGGCTGGGGCGAGAGGTAAACGGTAACATCTATCAAACTGCCAGCAAGGCCAATCATAGCCTGTGCTATATTGGCAGAGCTAAATACAATTGCTGGATCAGTACCGGCCATAGATGTAGTCGTTGCACATACAGAAGCCCTATTCATAAATGCAGATAGCCCCTCCTCACTGGAGCCATTGAGGCTCTGGCTGATGTTATGAACAGAATTAGACGGGCTAGAGCTTTTGGGGCTATTGTTCTCATAGATCCTATCCATACTAGTGAGAAGGTGCGGGTCATTATCAAGCCTCTTGGCGCCAGCGATCAAGTCCATATCACAACCAGCAAAAAGTTAGCCTAGAGGACAGCAGCAGCAGAACCAGAGCCAAACCAACAGGACTGTAGAGAGGTCAGGACTCCGGCCGAACTGACCCAGCCCTCCCGCATGTGCCATCTGGGTTGTCATCCAGAAACCCATGTGTGAACAGCTCGAAGCATTCAGACCGGAGCAAGTTCTCCTGAGTTAAATTTGGCGATGATGGATATGTACACGTATCCCTTAAGTACCATATCCATCTTCTCAAGCACGCGAGAGGGCAGGCTAAATGATGTCAGTACTGCCATCACTACGGAGCTGAAATCATAGCTAGATCGCTCCAAGCGAGAAGATCAACGTACATTCGGTATAGTTGTACCTGGTCAAGCAACTGAGCTAGAAGATAAAATTCAATGAAACGTCGAGTCCATGAGATGCACTGCAGGCCGGCCGCGTGGTGGATGCCCGAATTGTTGAGATTTATTCGCCAAAGCACTTAGTGCAGGTGCCCGTCGAGGTGAATGCTGGAGAGGGCATGGATGCCCTTGAAGGGCACATAAGCGGCGTTCTAATAATCCTAATTTGGACCCAAATAATCAGTTCCAAGTCTTGGCTACTCTAGTCGTATCTCAACTGGAGACTAAGGACGGAAAAACTACATGGGAGGACATAGTCTTCCGCCCGGCTGAGTAGGGTGGCATCCAAAGGAAGCCGCACCGGTGCAGACAGCGCACCTCCGCTCAGGCCAAGGCTTGGGACCCCAGAAACAAAGTCAATGGTATTATAAGCCCATAGAAGCAGCTCATCTCTCGAACGACATCTGCCGACATCTTCGGGGCCAAGATATTGGCACAAAACCTCATCGGGTTGAAGAGTTGGGAGACGAGGATAATGGAGGACTGAGTCAGAATGGCAATGCAGCGCCTGATATGTCTCTGCAGGATTTGCAACGAAGAGGTAGTCACTGTGATGTTCAGAGCAGAGCGAGGCCTGAGTCACTTGCGGGCCAGCCTCAATTGACTGTGCGTGACATTCTCATCTAATCGATGTTAAACACTCAGAGTCCGGCAAGTCTAGCAATTCCGGTCCGACACCGCTGACGAACTAGGACAACCGGTAGCCAGCGGCAAGGACTCAGTACCATTGTAGGCAGACAGGATGTTTGGCCGCTTTGGGTTGGGTTAGCAGAGAAAAATGATCCCGATTCATTTGCTCGACTTCCCTGTCAGATGAGTCACTGGGGGGATAGGATTTTAGACATCTTTCCACTGGGATTCAGAGGGAAGAAGTAAGCTGGGTAAAATACGCTAAAGCATGATGATTGGAGGTTAAATTTTATAAGCCTCTGGGCGGCTAGGGTCGAAGTACCTAGGGACTGAACAGTGTGTGAATCTTTGAAAAGACAAGCCTCAGCTTAACGTCTGATATTCATACCCGAAAATTTTAAGGCCTTTATTATTACTATGAAGCAGTTCAATGGGGCAGAGACTGAACCAGAGCAGGAGGAATGCGACGAGCAGATTTATGAGACGCCTCCAGAGGTATTAACCTCTTCTTCAACTTAGCTGGCCGGATCCCACGCACATTGGAAACCTACACAATTGGACTGGGGATTTTTCAGTGAGACGTCACTGAGCCATTGGAGCAGACCCATGATTATAAGCTCGCCTTTACATATATTTGCTCCTTTTCATCAGCTCATTTACAGTTCATACAGTTCACCTTGCTGCATGTGAGGGCATGAGGCAGGTTGGCCGATATTGTAGTGCGCTGAGCGTGCAGGTTCTCTACGCAGGTTGGAATTGAGTAAGCTATGAATGAGTTTGATGTCCGGTGGAACAGGATGAAACCCCGTCGGAACAAACAAAGCCTTTCATTAGTCATGAGCTTGGTATCTATCAGCTGCGACTGACTTATCTGGATTTCCCTAGCGAGGGGAGGATCGAGCGGAGGTAGTTTGACTTCCAGACGCCGCTTGGCGTCTCCGAGAAACATGTAAAGGCGGCTTCTTTTAAGCTAGGCTGGCTGATTCCACAGTACATGCTACATCTGGGTACATGAGCCCAATCTGTCTACCGGAAAGTTCGTGCCGACTCGACTGTTGAAGTTCTGCCGATAGATATCCGTGTGCATAAGCCACATATGAAGCTGTGGGTTATCCAGTGGAACCAATTGATACGGAAGCGAATGATATTGACCGACCATTGCCTCCAGAGGCTGTTTGGTGAAAGAAAGTAGGCAGGAGTGTGAGTTCACAAAGATGGCGACCAGAAGTTGTCTGGCTGGCCAGAGTGAACTCTTACTGGTATCTATGGACACTGGCTCAATCTGAAAGGCAGCAATACCTTACGTTTACATACTCCCACGTAGACGAGGAGAAAGCGGGCATGCTGGTTCTGCTTTTGTGGGAAGGTTATGGTGAGTTGTCTGACCCAAGAACCCGGAACTAATAAAAGTAAAACCTGAAAAATGCGTATGGCTCAGCGCCAGTTCATCCGAATTAGAGGTATGTCTATGCCACATTATATAAGGTAGCCAAGCTTATTCCGATTTCTTGTAGAACAAAGAGGTAATGGTACTTCATGGCCGAGATGGGCCGTGCTACGTTGGGACCAATTTCAGCACCGAGCTGGGGATCGTCGTTTCTGCAGCCGAAGGCCAACTACTCCTGTAGTACTTCAACCCTCTATGAGAGCTTTGAAAAGAAATGTGACTTCATCACCAGCCACTCTCTGCCTCGAATTCTATGTTCTAAGTTGTGTTTCTCATGAGAAAAGGTCACTTTCGGAGTTGAGTAGACTCCGCTCTGTTTGCCTATGTCAAAGAATCAGACCCAAGTTTGAACATTTTTGGGGGCTTTTAGGCCCTACCGAGCTTAGATAGAGAACCCTACTGAGATCCCTCGGCACTTCCACCGACTGACAGGAAAGACCTGTGGGCTTGGGGTCCATCAAATGGGCTGGCGTTTGTTGTATTGGAGGATCATGTTACTGGAGAGGTTGACCTTGATGTGCATTTCTTTGACCTGCCTGTCGACTTTTACCCTGACAACTCATACTGTAGTGAACGATGTTTAACTCAGCAGCCGCAGAACGGAAGGTAAGTCCTAAGGCCATAAGATTTGTTCTTTTTCACCAAGACTGAACGAAATTATGGCACTTTCAAAAAAAGAACTAAGGGCGATCGTGAAAGTCTATAGTAGGCCTCCTTAACACAAATTGTGGGCACCTACATCGTCGACCATCTGGATTGACTACAAGCCGGTGACTTGGTTCTTGACCCCATTCCACCCGCTAGAATTCCAGATGGGTCAAGGAGCTTCACCTCCTTAACTCCAGAATTAACCTTTATCAAAAGGCCCGCAACATTGCAGCTGACTGCCTTGCCCAGACGATATTCCCCTTGTAAAAATGTCCCTATGAGGTGGGTTCTGGAAACATGTGGCTGCTTGGACGGGCATATCTGGGCTTGGAAGAATGGCACTGAAAGTCACGAGAGCTCATTGGGCGACTCAAAGTGGAACAAGAGGCTGCGGTCGACCTACTTAATGACACCTTTGACTTCAGTGCTCAGCTAAAAATGATTCGAGTTCTTTACCGTTCTGGACAGCCATCGCCGTTTCGTCGCAGCACGAGACGACGTGGAAGACCTCCTCTTGAGATGGAGAGAAGCCGCATAGTATCAAGTTGTCGCTCCTATGTTAGTTCAGGCCTCGTCTCACGATCACTAGAGAATTGACACAGTGGGAGCTAGACTATTGAAAAGACAAAACAGTACAAGGTCCCAGATGAAGCA